CCTCATATGCATACGGTAGTTGGCGCCTGGAACAGTGCTAACTCGATAAGTGGCTGGGAAGAAGTGGCTGAAATTTTGTCTGGATATTTATCGTCCAAATGGAAAATCGTATAATAAAATGAGTATCGATTCGCACTCGTATTGCGACTTAGAGCACTTCAAAGATATTTGTAGCGAAGTGGCCATTTTGCTTACCGGATAAGGTGCGAGGCTGGAACTTTGCTGGGATATTCTACTTTCAAGTGCGCCTTAAGTCTGTTTGAAAGTGGAGTTCCATGCAGATGGGTATGGGAAATACCCAGCTTTACCGAAAAATCAGAAACGAGTGCATTCTGCAGCGAACAACTCATCCTCCCCCAATATGTAAATGAACTCATTTACATATTTGTATTTTTTGACGGACGACCGCTCTAGCAACATTTTCACTTTTCAATGAACTGGAAATTTGCATTTCTTCGAAGATCAAGTATTTACCGGAAAATCGACTGAGCTTCATGCAAAAAACTGATAGTCATATATCTTGGAAGTTTATGCGGCCCGGTAATGCAACACCTTCATCCCAACTGAAGCCCTTTCTTCTGCTTGCCGGAAGAGGCCAAAGCACGGCCAGTATGAACCCAGTTGTTAAGCTAAGCTCAGAGATCACTCCTGCTATTAGCGATCAGCAGTTTAGTGCAAAAATGCACGATGAAGCCGGCAAGCCTGGTGCTTTCAACCTGGGTTCTTTTGTATGTTTTCCATGTTGCTTGTGCTGTGTTTTTGGGTCTATTTTGTGCCCAGCTGCTTGACTTTTAATACGCTACCATCCCCCTACCAGGGCGGTTGAAATCCATACTGCCCAAGTGAAGTTGAAAAAAATGCAAGGTAATGTCTTCTTGGTACTGTTAAAGCTGGATACTCCGATTTATCATTGCAGTACCTAATTCGCAGCCATTCCACGCTACTGTAGATGCTTAGGTCAAAATTTTGCAAGAGTGCTCAGAAGCTCCTATACAAAGTGGAAAATTTTGACAGAATTACTATCACTTCTAGAGCCTCTATTTTGCCCTTTACCGCTACAAAATTACTAAAATTATGACCTCAAAACGGCACCTTCTTACATCAGGCATATAATTTCGCGACACAATCTACTTTTAGATTCCACTGCTTATTTCATTTCTCACTGTGTTCATTGCAGAAACTTGTTGATGACAAACGATGCATTGATTCCACCGATTATTTGCTGTTCAGCAGTAATAAAATAGTGCGCGGTATTTTCCCTGAAATGATCCATAGTTCGCTAAGCGAGGCCATCCTACCAATATCACCTGTATCACAGCGCCGGATTGGCATGTATTTCGAAGTGGAATGCGATATTCACGGCGGGAGCTTCTTTTATGCCGATATTATGGATAACACAGTTTACAGGTAAGTTTACAATAACCACGTTTGCCAAGACGATTAATGTGTTTCCTTCAGTGCTGGTTTAGTGCAAATGCATAATAGACATAAGCACTCGAGTTTCTAAAGTGGTCGTAAACTAACTTGTCATTTTTCGTATTTTTAAAATAAGCTTTACTGGCAGAAAACACGTGGTATAGTTTAAACGACGGGGTACAGCACCTCGATGCCGTTAAAGCGCTGCGGAACTTAGTTATGGCATGCTTGGGATACTGGGCCATTTACTTCCAGATATCATCCGTTAATTTTATGCGTTTTTACGTCACTGACGAAGAGTGCGAGATCTCATGCTGAGAACGGACTGTGTGTATTTGCGTTTAATTTTTACCATCAACTTTCAACTCAGCAAATAGAAAAGAAAAGAAGCTGAAATTTTGCAAAGATGCTTCCTGGCACGAAAAATCAAACTTCATGTGTATTTTACCTTTGGCATATGAGTATGTGAAGGGAAAATTTTAAGAACCTTTTTGCAAAACGGACAAAATAGAAATCTTAAGTTCCATGAGGATGTTCCTTGTCCACGTGTGCTTTAAAAAATTTCAGATCCAAATCCATTAAATCCGTCCATGCATGCTTCAAAGCATGCATAGATCCCTCGGGCATGTAAGTGAAATTTCAAGCCGGAATACTGTCGAGACCTTCTTAACTCGATTACCAGGCTCATCAGGAACTACAGTTTTAGGAAAATGTTTAGTGTCCGAAAATGTCAGCCATACTCCTTTGCGGAAAGGGAGAAACAAGAAAGTTACAATAATATAAGTGTGTGCTTGATCGTGTGCCCAAGCTGGCCTCCAAGCGCAAATTGGGCATTGACGAACACCTGTGCCCGTTTGCGGACCTATCAAATTTCCATTTACA